TCCTTCTTCCTCCTCCTCCCCTTCTTGCGCTTTTGCTCCCACCCTTTTTTCTCATTGCGCAGGAAAAGCAAAAGAGAAGGCTTATACCACTTAAGGCTTGTCTTGGGAAGGTGAGACATTTTGTGGTCCGTTCTTGGGGGGCGTAATGACCCTACGTCAGAATAGGCAAGACAAGAGAGATGGGCCGTTATTACACCCTGATCGAGGAGGCATCTGAGACAATGCTGGTGGCATTCTGCCAAACACAGCTGAATGATTTTCTCCCTTCTTCTTCTTCCCTTTCCCAGGATTTCTGCAATTTGCCTTCGTCTCTTCATTTCACTACTATGCATAGTACCATGCAACAACGCAGGAAGCGAAGTGTCATCTGAGCATATGAGACGAATACTACGTAGGAGATGGATCTTTCTGGCGTACCTGGAGCCGCGCAACAGGACCCAAAATAAGCAAGCATGATGGGAAGACGTCTGACGACGAGGTCTTACAAACCAAACCGGGACGAAGTCAACAAAGAAGAAGGGGGGGTGGGATGATGGGGGTAGCTGTTCCCACTTCGCGGGCAGGTCCGCCGCGCTAAAACGTGTGATAGAAGGTGGGTGGATGACCAGTTGTACGAAGTATTTGATGTCAGTGGTGATAGAGTTTTGGCCCTTTCATCGTATCGTTTTCCCCCGTTTGGAATATTCGAATGGGGGGCGTGGTGATGAGGCTGTGACTGGTGTACTTCGTAGTTTTACTTGATAAACCCCCACACCCCCTATTGTTTTCCCCAGTTCCAGTTGCCTCCTGCGGGATTTACGTTGCAGCACAGCTATTTGGCGGGATGATCTCGACGTGCTTCGAGGAAATTTCTTGAGGGGAACAAATAACAACAAGATCAAATACATTTCGCCGTTGTTTGGCCCGTTTCGCCCACCCCCCTTGTTACATTGTGGCAAGCGTCAATCAATCACTGTCATTCGAGAAAAAGAAGAAAAACCCGAAATCGGGCACCTTGACAAGGGAGCGTTTGGCGTTCATGTTTCCTGTATCGGGCTTGCTTGCTGCTTGCTTGCTGCATGTTTTGTTTTCTTTTTGTCCTGTCTATGCAGTTGCATTACCGTTATTGTCTAGGCGGCGACAACTTGCAGCCCCAAAAGGTAATGTTTGCTTTTTCTTCTTGATCATTACTAGTAGGTGGATATGTGATGGGATTTGCTTGTTCGTGATATTACTACTTGAGGCGTTTGTTGGGGAAGAAGCAAACCCCACCAAAGGGGGGAGATGTGGTAGTTTTCCGGTCAGCGCGGGCTCCCGAAGCATCGTGCCTGCTTGCTTGACGAAACTGTGCCTGGGGATGTGGAGGAGAAGCCGGTGATGTTTTCCAGTTGATCTGTGATGGGTGGAAACTATTACTTCGTACTCTCGTATTTTTTTCTCATTACTGGGCATCGCGAAGTCTCCTCTCCTTCTTCCACCTCCTCCCCCTTTCTGGGCGGATGAGCGCAGCAAAGAAAGCAACTTCCTCCGCCATATTGGGCCATTTTTTCATAGCTTTTGCTCGGCCTTAACCTAGCCGTAGTTCCGGGACGGGCAGAGAAATGGTGGGGATTGATACAACCATACCTACTTGGAAATACCGAATCTGGGATGTTGGAGGGTGCCTAAAAATTCCTCTTTTCTGAGAAATGATGAGAGTTTTGGGGGAGGTGCAAAGCTACATCCGAGGAAGCAGAAAAAGGAAACCCTCGCAAACCAACCAAAAACCGTGCCGATGTTACTTTGCCGTTTCCGTTTTACTTTTTTTTTTTTTTCATGTTCTTCCTTCTTTCATCGTACCTATAAATTTAGTGTCAGTACATTTTCCCCATTTTCCATTTTTCTTGTTTGCTTCTCATGCGCCTCCTTGCCATGCCTTGCGAGATTGATACAAGGGGAGGCGCAAGGAGGGACGCAAACAGAAAATAGGGGGTACCTTCGTTCGTGTGGAACTTGTGGCAGGGAGGGCGTCAGCTGGCTCGAAAAAGACGTGGGCTAATGCAGGGCGTTCGCTGCACTTTAACGAGCTTCCCGAGAACCAGTTCGTTGGGACCAAAAAGGCGCGGTGCTATTTCCCGGGACTCTCCCGCGGTGGACCGGGGGACCTGGTTTGTGGATGAACCAGAGGAGAGGTACCATCTGAACTTGAGAAGGTACCTACCTGGCACTACCTCGTATCTGCTGGCTGGGACGAAAGTACAGGGTGTACTCTACACTATAGCAAGGGTCAGGGGGAGTAGCTGGGAGGGTACATCAATTGATCGATCACATTGCAATGTTCCTTACTGCTCCCTCCCCACCGAGAAACGACTCCCCGAACATTCTATTCTGCAGGGGACCGAAATGGTAATTTGCCTCGTACAAGAATTATCTTTAATTCTTGCAAAAACGTGGGAAATCTACGACCTAGGAATATTTCCTCTGCTCTGTAGCTGGTTCTCTGCGGGGATATTGTCAACGATCAACGACTAACGGATTGACCAAACTCCTATAGTGGCTATTAACCGTAATTATACCCAATAGTCAATGGTGTCATTAGGATTCGAATCTCGTTGATCGTTTGCGCGGCAGGAAGAGGGTCGTACGAGATATTATGACATCGGGGATTAAATTAGGCTCCAGCTTTAACCAACGCCTCGTGCTCTAAGGGGGGATCTTGGGTTGGTCTTTTGTTTTCTCAGCGTTTGCTGTTTGGTCAATGGTGCCCCTAAAGCAAAATGGTCAGACAACACCGTATTGCTCATTAATCATCTTGTCAACTACCTACTACTTTGAGCAAATTGATAATTTCGTTCTGTGTTTCAAGAGTTCAATGTTGTCACTCCTTCAATGTCTAATCAAGTTTACGAGCTATGAGCCGCCCTACATTTGTAGTGTATACCTCTATTACCAGTCACGTCCTTGACCCCAGTTTTCCGGGATGGCTTTCCGGTCTCAAAGTGCTTGGGTTCAGATCGCGAGACCTGCTTCGCAAGAAAAAGCAGAACACTTTTGTTAAGTCGGTTAGGTACACCATTGCAAGATGATAGGATCGATGCCACTGTTTGGTGTTTTGCGGCTGTCACTCAGTCGATTGTCGTTGTACCGTGTCTCCCACTACACTGGGCACTCCTGACGTCGCAAACCGACTTCCAACGGCAAGCTGCCAGTGTCAAGATATCAACCTGGGACGCAGACAGAGGCGGAGGCGTTTCTGCTTGCCCGTGGTACTTCGTAGATCAGTGCAGGTCAGACATTCAGACATGCCCCCGTCTCGATCGAGACAAATGAGCGCATTAACACATCTCAGAGGAGAATTTACTGCCTGACGTTGTGGTACTTTTCTCCACCTACAGCACGCCCCAAGAGTGGTGGCGGCGTCTTAGGTGAGATCAATCTCAGCACACCGAACGCTCGCTAATGTCAACGTCAATGAATCAAGCGATCGCTTAAGAACCAAACAGGGAAGAATCTGATGCTGACCAGTGAACATTGTAACACATCAAAAACTAAATTACAAAGGATTCCATCTGCTGCGGTAGCGTTATGTCATTTTGCAGCTTCGATCCGGCCCGCTGCCCACCACCGTTGATTCGGCGAATCTGAGTCAGGGTACGAGGGGATATTAATCCCCTTGCCGTCTTCTCTGCATCTTCCTATTCTTCGTATTGCATTTTCTCATAATCTTGACGGCATAATATCGGCTCGAAAAGCGCAGCGCGCCCCTCGTCCCTTGTCATCAGGCAGGCCGAACCCGTGGACAAGGACCGCCGCGGAAGGCGATACCGACGAGGGTAAATCGGAAGAATGTGCCGGTTTGACCACACAGCCACCCACGCTCTTTCCGTTGCCCCCTTCTCCCCGGTCTTCAGCCCCCACGCTCTTTCCCAGCTCGGTGACCAGCTGATGATCGGTGATGACAGCGTGAGATCACCTCAGCTTAAATTGGAAGCCCCCATTCACTGTTTCCCGCGTGGACCCTGACCTCACAACATTGCATTGCCCCCAATGTTTTCCTCTTTTTCTCCGATCTTCTGTTTCTCCTCATTCTCGATAGGGTCTGAGGAATTAGAATCTCATCAGCCCTCGTTCCACTGCCTCGTCACATCGGATATTTTTCGCCCCCGATCCACCTCACTTTATATTGTTCTTCAGCCTTCGTATATAGGAGAATAGAGCCACTACTTGCCTGCTTGATGGTGATCATTTCCACCAAGTCGTCAGGCACCGAACGTACACCTCTACTTTGCATCAGGGCATCTTGAAGTACCTGCGATGCTTTTCTGCGCACGGAGTACAAGCATGGGGAGGTGTGTAATGAAGCTTTTTACTGACCATGTTTGCTTTGCTCTTGCTTTACTTTTTTCCTATGAAAAAGGATGAACACCTCTACGAAGTAGTATCAGTGGTTCGAAACCATCACCTCCTGCCGGAATACCCTACCCACCCGGCTGCCGTGAAATTGTCATGTCTCGAATCGTGCCGCCTCTTACGACCAAGGCACTGAATGTACGACCTTGGCTGGCTTAAACGCAAAACCTTGCTTTATGAACCTGTGGGGCTCTGTATCTCTTCATCTGCACGAGCCCTGAACCGCCCCAGTGATGCCCCGAAAGGGCTTGAAGGCGTTCGAGGAGTAAGGAACCAAAGGCAGTCAGTGCTCCTCATTTGGACCCAGCCCTTCGCTTGCTAACCGATCTCCGATCTGGACGAGTCTCCATGCACACCAATGCAGCCTAGCGGTTCATCTGCCGGCACGTATCAGGATCCGGTAGTTTGAGATCGAGGAATCCGTGGCACTTGGCGGTGACTGGCCCGCTGTTGACGGGACGGCGGGTTCATATCTCGGGATATATGTCTCTGATCGACTCATGTTAGCCCCATATTGCGAATCGGGGAATAAAGGATCTCGGTGTTATGGTACTCTCCGATGCGCGGATGAGCCGAAACGGTAGCGCAGCCGACACTCAACTCAGTGTTTGGCTTTGCGAAGGGGAGATGACTCACGTTCTTCTTACTAGAGGCATCTCTGCCCGGACCTTCTGAACCAAGTCTAGATCGATATCCACGAAGCCAACCGCCGTGCCGTCCGAGCCATCATCGGGGTTCCCGTCTGAATCCACACCGCCAAGGTGTAGCACCACCCTCCCCCAAGGATCCACCACTAGACTGTGCCCGTAGCTCACCCTCTTCTCATTGTGACGACCCACCTGCGCCGCAGCAATGACCCAGCTCTGCGTCTCGATAGCCCTCGCCCGGAGCAAAACCTCCCAGTGCGCCCCTCCCGTCGGCACCGTAAACGCCGATGGGTACGTGAGAATCTGCGCCGACGCGCCAGAGCCACGATGCGCAAGTGCCAGCGCCGGTTCGGGGAACCGAAGATCGAAGCAAATGAGACTGCCGACGCGCCCGAGAGGGGTCTCGAACGGCGGTGTCAGCCGAGTCCCCGGCTTAACCGTCGCGCTCTCCCGTAGGGCTCCATAGTCGAAGAGGTGGAGCTTGTCGTAACCTGTTCCGTCGTCGATCCCGCCATCGGAGCGGATCCACAGCGACCGGTTGTAGAGTCTTGTCGACACCGAGCCCGGAGAGTCAGACTGCTCCGTCACGGGCACGTGGATGCCGACGTTGATCTCGATCCCGTGCTCCTTTGCTGCTGAGCGGAGACCATTGACGAATGGGGACTCTTCTTGCGGCTTCGCTAGGGAAAGTGACTCTTGAGGCGATGAAGCGATGTAGTCTGCGGCTTCGGGGAGGAAGATCACCTAGAACGTACCGATCGCCGGCCCTCGCTCGAGTGAGTTCTCTTGCAGATCCTTCTTGTCATCAAACTGATAATTGAAAGACAAAATTCTCTTACCTTTGCTCCCCCTTGGGCTGCCTCGCGAACTAGTTTCTTGCACTTCTCCAAGTTCAGCAACACGTCCGCCGTCGACGTGAGCTGCCCAACCGCCTGTTTGTTTTGAGTGTTAGCCTCACCATTCTTTGTATCTTGAAAAAGCATCCCGATTTACCGCAATCGCCATGCTGTAAGAGCGCCGAGTCACCGGCGCCTGGAAACGGGAAGTGAGTCTAAGAAGCCTGATGGCGCTGATTCTACGAGTCAGGATGGGATTCATTGCCTGGTCAAGTCGCCCATTCCCCAGTATGAGCCGCAACTAAGAAATGGCGCGAATGGGCGAAACTGGCTTGGGACCGGTTCCATCCGCGACCGATTACGAAGATGCTGGATTATTTGTAATACAAGTTGAACTTCACCTCTCGCCTGAGACTGGACACTTACATGGAAGATAACACTCAAAAAGAAACATACAATGGCACCATTCTTATTTTTTTTTCTCCCTTTCATGAAGAAATGATTAAAACGTAAGGTTCTTAAAAATGGCAACAGAGCCTTTCCCTTTATTCTTGAACTCCCCCTTCCGACGCTCCAGCGAATTAATAAAGAATATCCCCGAGTTTTTTTTGTTTAACATACAAGGCCAGACGTACTTGGGACCAAAACAAGAAGAAGAAAAGGAGTAAGAAACCAAAAAGAACAAAAGAGGAAAGATGAGGAAAGGAGACCAAACTCTGAAAGGACATGATCAATAGAAGGGTCCTTTCGAAATAACGGCAGCAAAAAAAAAAAAAAGGGTGTCGAGAATCAAGAACGTGTAAAAAATGTACAAGGGGAAATCGAGAAGGAGGAGGTCTGGGGCCAACACAAAGAGAATTTCCGAGCATGAGTTTGCTTTCGGTCTGTGTATCAACTTCCTGTCTGGTATGAGTATGAAAAAGGGGGAGGATTTGGGTCTGCCTCGAACGGTCTTTTTTTCTTTCCTGGTTCCGGTCTGTCATGAAGTAATACTCTATTCGTGTCCAATAACCGTGACACGCCGAGGGAGTTGAGACGAAGAAGAAAAAAAGAGACAGATAATACCCTCGAGAGTACTTCTCTCGTTTAGCTTACTTTGGCCCCGAGGTATCGAGCTTATCGTAAGCACTTTGTAACGTCGCGTGTTCAACACCATCCGCCTCCAAGGCCGCGATCCAATCTCTGAGCTGAACGCCCTTACCCTTATCCTTATCTTCCCGCCAGTTTCCAAGCCTATTGCGACTATCCGTCGTTAGGGGCATAGCCTCGGGCTGTGCCGCTGGTGCCGCACCCGCACCGCCTCCGGGGCCAGGAGTACCCGCGCGTGCTGGTGTCGAGGCACCACTTCGAGCACCGCCACCCGTCATCCATCCATACTTCTTCTTTCCGAAGACGCTACCCATCTTGCCGACAAACATGCTGCTGGTCAAGTTCTGAGAGGCGTGATTACTAGCCTCTGCCGCTTTCGCGCTCTTCCGCTGCTCCTTCTTGGTCATTTCCTTCTTCGTGCCACCATCTCCGGCCGTGGAGCCAGGCGTGCCGGGCCCGACCGAGCCGGCGCGCGATGGAGCGCCGGATTCTGTTGTTCCTTCCTTGCGTGCGTTTCGCTTCCTTAGACGCACTTCCTCCCAATCTCGTTCGGTTCTTACGGCGTCTCGAACAGTGGTAATGGTTTCGTTCTTATCGATCCGTTGCAGCTTTGCAGGAGTACCATTCGCAGGTTCGAGTTCGGCGGCGGCTTGCGTCCCTAGGGTTTCAGGGTGGTAAGTATAAAGCATCAGATGGGGGGCTGTTTTTGGGGGGGGAGGGCAGTGGGGTTAGGGTAGAACATACTCTTAAGAGGATTTGGCTCCGCACTCGCCGTTTCGTCGTTCGCTACCAGAGCTGCCTCCTCAACGGCCGCCATTCCCTTGAGCGGAGCAGCTACATCCGCCCACTCCTCGGGGATATGCCCGTGGGATGAGGCTTGCCTGTTGACAGATACTCGATGCGCATCCTCTAGCAGGGTGCGCATTCTTTGCTTGCAAGCAATGGACAATAGTCCGAGTTGGTCGACCAGGTAGGCGTCATGTGGAATGAATGAGCCAGCGGTAGTCACTATAGTCGCGTCCGGGAGAGTCTTCACAGTGACGTTGACGCGGGGTTGTGGGAAATTCTCAGGAGCGCGCATCTTTCCATGCTGCTGGCCAGTTTTCAAGTCCACGTGAAGCTGCAGACCCTGTTCTTTGGCGAACTTCTCCAGCTTCCTGTGGACGGCGGGGACGAGGACATAGGGCTCGATTAATTCCTGGACACGTATCTGCGCTAGCTTCCTCGCTGCGTCGTCCCACGCTTTCTTAGCGGCCTGAGATACGAGCTCTTCCTGCGACTGCGCGTCGGTACGCTCCGGGGGCTGATTCAACTGACCCGCTCCATATAGGGTCTCTCTAGGACCCGGAGGATGCTGGGGGAAGCCATACGATGCCTCATAGCTATTGAGTAGCATTTCCGTTGCATAATTCTCTTCGGCGCGTAGATCAATTCCTGTCCCCGCTAACATATCGGTCGGCTCGTAATCAAATTCCTTGGTCGGTCGATCGAGGGGACGAGCTGGCGGCGGCATGCTCTGGGAGATGGCAGCCGGAGAAGGGGCGCCCGGGCTGGGCGCGGGCGCAATCGGTGCCATAGTGGCCGATGTATACTGGGATGGTGGCCCAGGACTCGGGGCCGCGGGCAGTTGTGGGGTAGCTATTGTCGGGACATGTGGACGGGAGTCGGGAAGGCTAAGGCCAGGTGTGTGGCCGTTAGTTGAAACGGGAGTCGCTGTCGGCATGGGTATCTGATGGGTTGGCATCGGGAGAGTGGTGGGTGTCGTGGCACGCGCAGCAGAAGATGCGGTTGGCGTAGTGGTAGGAAGCGGTATGCCTGTAAACTGAGGAGACGCGGCGGCGCTGGACGGAGTGTGACCTGGTGTGGAAGCTCCCGTTGCACCAGGGCTTTGAGCATAGGGAGAGTTATATGGCGACTGTGGTTGCGACGCGGGCGCTGGAGATAGTCTGGGACGTTTGTTTGGGGGCAACGTAAAGGCAGATTGGGATTGGGCGGGGGATGGCGATTGCTGAGGCCCAGATGGCGGAGAGAAGGCGGGTGTCGACACGGGTTTTGGGATGGGCGGTTGTGACTGTGGTTGCGCCATGGTTGCGAGTATGCGAAAGCCCCGAACGGCTTTCCTCCTTTATTCGAAGATGAATCACGACGTCGAACTCGGGAAGTGGCGATGGATCTCGATGTGGCGTTGAAGATCCTCAAGACGTGCACACCAGGCAGCGAAGCCTGGTAAAGGGCGCGGCTAGGCGACCCATTCGGCGGATCTGCGAAGATGGATCGTTGGGGACGGTCGCGATCAACGTATGGGTATGGGTATAGGAAGCGACACCGGCAGAATTAGATGGCTGCTGCTTGTAGGAGACGCGGGATTTGCTGTTGTAGCTGTCGTTGATGTAAAAAGCTTGGACGAGTCGCGCCTCTGTCTGATGAGAATGAGGAGCAAGGAGTAGCTTGGCTGGCACTTGCTTGCGTCGACAATTTATAATCACGTGACGCGACCACTGACAACAGAGGAAACGGAAGGCTGACTCCAGAGAGCTTGCTCCAACAAATACCCGAAGTATTTCCGAACAACTCTTTTGTTGCCTCAGCCTTCGCCGCGTTGAACAATCAAGCCGACGACAGGACAGCGATGGTCCTCTCAAACCTCGACAACCCCAGAGCTTCCAACCTTCCCTTTCCTAGGGTTCCGCGCTCTTTCGGTTGCCAGTACATGCAGCCCAATATCAAAAATCTCCGGATTCGAATTTGATTCTCCTCTGATTTTCCTTCGACCACGACACGAGTATTGCACTATAGCTGTAAAGCACCATGGCGTCCAAGAGGAAGGCGGCTGCCATGACAGCGACTGAGCCGGAAGAGCCAATTGACCCAGCAGATCAGCTAAAGTTTCTTTGCCTTGGTGGAGGCAATGAAGTCGGACGATCATGTCACATCATCCAGTACAAGGGCAAGACAGTAATGGTAAGCACACCACCACCTCGTTCGTTGTGTCTCGTGTGCCACTGCACGTCCTGAGGCGATGTGGATCTAGAGCAATGGGCTGACAGTCTCTCTTTCTTTCTAGCTTGATGCCGGACAACATCCAGCATACGATGGTCTCGCGGCCCTACCCTTCTTTGATGACTTCGACCTTAGTACCGTGGATGTCCTTCTTATCAGCCAGTAAGCGGATCCCCTCTATACCCCCATAGCATTGTAATATTCGTGTTGCAGGGCAAGGCGGCTGCAGGATGATGTATGTACATGGACTCGGTCAGCGACGTCATGGGGAAAGACCACTCCCCCCCATTTCTACTACGACATACCAGACGTATGGATATGACGCGGGTGACACCAGAAGAGGTTGGATACGCCCTTCAGCCCTGCCACAGTGGCATCGAGCTCCAGGACTGTCGCCGCCTTGTTGTTCCCAGTTCTATTGTAGACAGAGAGAATATCAATATACTATTTTCATCCCTCAGCTGCCTTTGCCTTTGTCTCTTGCCCTGCAGTTCGGCTCTTTGTTTCGTTCGAGTGATGGCTTGAATATGCTCTTATTCTCGCACCATGCGGCCAGTCCTAGGCTAACACACAACTCTAGTTTCCACGTCGATCATGCGGCATCTCTTCCATACGTCCTGGCCAAAACCAACTTTCGTGGTCGCGTCTTCATGACGCATGCCACGAAAGCCATCTACAAATGGCTGATCCAGGATAGCGTACGAGTTGGCAACACCTCGTCAAACCCGACCTCTCAACCTGTCTATTCGGAGCAGGACCATCTCAGTACTTTCCCTATGATCGAGGCCATAGACTATCACACTACGCACACTGTATCGTCCATCAGGATCACACCTTTCCCGGCGGGCCACGTCCTGGGAGCGGCGATGTTCCTTATCGAGATTGCGGGTCTCAACATCTTCTTCACCGGAGACTATTCCCGAGAGCAGGATCGACATTTGGTTTCCGCAGAGGTCCCCAGGGGAATCAAGATTGACGTTCTCATCACCGAGTCGACCTATGGTATCTCATCCCACACGCCAAGGGAAGAGCGCGAGCAGCAGCTGATGAAGTCAATCACAAACATTCTCAACCGCGGAGGACGCGTTCTGATGCCCGTCTTCGCTCTTGGTCGAGCCCAGGAGTTACTGCTCATCCTCGACGAATACTGGGGAAAGCATCCCGACTACCAGAAGATACCAATCTACTACGCCAGTAACCTCGCCCGTCGTTGTATGCAGGTCTACCAGACGTATATCGGATCCATGAACGAAAACATCAAGCGTCTTTTCAGCGAGAGAATGGCAGAAGCCGCCGAGTCCGGTGACACCGCCGGCAAGGGCGGACCCTGGGACTTTAAATACATTCGTTCGCTCAAAAACCTCGATCGATTCGAAGATTTCGGCGGCTGCGTCATGCTTGCCAGTCCCGGTATGCTGCAGAACGGCGTAAGCCGCGAGCTACTAGAAAGGTGGGCTCCGAATGAGAAGAACGGCGTCATCATTACCGGTTACAGCGTCGAGGGAACGATGGCGAAACAAATCATGCAAGAGCCAGATCAGATTCCTGTTGTCATGTCGAAAGGTGCTGCTACAGGAAGGAGAGGTCCAGATGGTGACAAAGTCATGATTCCGAGGCGATGCAGTGTTGAGGAATATTCATTCTCAGCTCACGTTGATGGAAATGAGAACCGTGAGTTCATAGAGGAGGTTGCTGCTCCTGTTGTTGTAAGTTGATCAGTCCAATTCCATTTTGCTCTTTGGTGCCCAGGCCCGTCAATCACTAACCAAGAACTTCACTTTGTAGATTCTTGTCCACGGAGAGCAGCACAACATGATGCGTCTCAAGTCAAAGCTTCTCTCCCTCAACGCACAAAAGATCCACAAGGTCAAAGTATACTCGCCCCGAAATTGCGAGGAACTCCTTATCCCATTCAAGTCAGACAAGATGGCCAAGGTGGTTGGCAAACTGGCATCCATCCAACCTCCAACCCACGTCATTGGCCCCGACGACCCAGAATCGCGTCTCGTAACTGGCGTACTCGTCCAGAACGACTTTAAGCTATCTCTCATGGCACCCGAAGACCTACGCGAATACGCCGGTCTTAACACGACCACGGTGACTTGCAAGCAAAAGTTCGTACTGGGCTATGCTGGCATCGACTTGATTCGATGGGCTCTCGAGGGAACGTACGGTGCCATCGAGGAACTCCCCGAGATGCACACACGAAAGGCTACGGATGGCGATGGACAAGATGAGAATGGCGACGATGAGCACGGTGGAGAGAACGGCGACAAGGAGATGGTTGAGGCGGCGGACGAAGAGGTTCCTCACCTCGTGGCTGCGTACCTCATCATGGGATGCGTCATTGTGCGGTACAAGAGTAACCGCGAAGTCGAGATGGAGTGGGAAGGGAATCTGCACAACGACAGTATCGCCGACTCCGTCATGGCAGTTCTCATGATGGTCGAGACTAGCCCTGCCGCCGTGAAGCGTAAGAGAACCTCCCCCTTTGCCTCCTTTTGATTTTTCCCTTTCCACGAAGATATGACGACTCAAACTAACGCTTGCATATCAAAGGCTCCGGATCACAATCCCCTCATCACCATCACACCCTCCCCGCCCGCAACCCCCACGCCTACGTCACCCCCGAAGAGCGCCTCAGCCGCCTCTTCCTCTTCCTCGAAGCCCAATTCGGCGCCGACAATGTCTCCCCCATCGCCGACCCCAAACTCCCTCCCCTCACTGCCTCCCCCCCTTCAAAAGACAGTTCCGCTCCTGCCGACCAACAACAACAAGCCGCCGACGCCATGTCCCTCGACGAATCGCCCGAATCCCTTGCGCAGCGCCGCGCCGCCGAGCTCGAGCGCCTCCACAAAATTGGAATCCCCGTTCCTGGCGTGTTTATCCGCCTCGACAAGATGTCGGCCAAGGTGTGGCTGGAGGATCTCGAGGTAGAGTCCTCGAGTAGGGTGTTTGCGGATCGGGTTAGGGCCGTTGTGGAGAGGGCTTGTGAAACGATTGCGCCGCTTTGGGGATGAAGAAGGAGGGGTTTTCGTGTCTTTTCTCTTGTGTTATGACGTGCTTTTGATACCTTGGAGAGGCGGAATGAGGGTTTGTTTCACAGGGAATTGAGGAAAAAAAACGGTCTGATGGGGATTAAACGAAATGTACTTTACACAGCGATAACGGAAATGGAAAAGAGGAACCTGGCCAGAACAGGTGAATCCAGTGTGTATACGATGATTAGGAAGTCAACTATTTTCCTATGGCGTTCAACTGTCCACGGTGTCTAGTGTCGGACAGGAGAGTCAAGGAGGATTGCAGGGAAGCAGAATTCAACTTCTCTCCCAACATCCACGGGACGTCTCAATCCAGTGGTGAGAGAGTACATCTCCCAAATTAGTTCTACATCAATTCTACATGAAAACACCACAGACTATAGGCACGAGGAGCATGATAAGAAGAAGAATAGCAGTGAGATGCATGTTTATTCCCTACCCAATAAATGCACCACAATGCATAATCCCCATCTCTTACAAAGGACCAAGGAAACCAAAAAAAAAAGGAGGGTAAACTAAAAAAAAAAAAGACAAAAAGCAACTAATAATACTTAATACATCGAGACCGATCGGTCGGTTCTACCCGATAAACTCTTTCAAGTCTTCCGACTCTTCTATCAAAGTCTTGAAAGAGAACGGGGTGAAGGCCCAGCCTGCAAATTCGGCGAACTTGGAGAAGGATTCGACCCAGGCCAACCTGAGAGAGTGAAGCTGTTGATCAAAAGTTAGAATCTTTGCCTAAGAAAAGAAGGGTTCGTGGGTTTCCTCGACTTACCATAGCGCTAGTTCCCTCCATGAGCACGAGAATAGCAATTGCTGGAAAAAAGAGAAAGGTCAGTCTCATGCTACACTGAATACAGGCGGCTTACACTCTAGACTTACTGAGATTGAGCCACATGGTGAATCCGATAACGATGGCAATGATACCAATTGGGCCAGTCATCTTAAGGCAAGGGCCAATGGTCATGTTCCAGAGCACGGTACTGAGTTGCTGATGGGCAAGCGACAGAGCCCAGAGACGGAGGTAAGACGCAGTGTGGGACACGCAGTTGAGGCAGAATTCTACACAAGTCAAGTTAGCAAAGTCGTCTCAAAACCACCTGTTTTCATAAGCATCAACTTACCAATGGTGTGAATAACCTGGTGAATAATTACTTCACTCAGCTCAAACTCCTCATGCTCCTCGTCATCAACATTTTCCGTGACCATATGAATGCCAGCATCAAGGCTATCGCGACCGTTGCCATTAACGGGCCGATCGCCATCTTCGTCATCACTATCAGCGGCAACAATATGCGCCGTCTCGCCAATAGTACGATAACCCTTGGCTCTCGCCTTCTTATGCTCCTTCCAGAGCATGTAGGGCTTGAGACCCAACATGATGGGGACCTGAACCATAGCGACGAGGAGCAGGACGTTCTGAACGAACGCCTGGCCGGGATACAGCTGGACGTCGATCGTGCCGGGCTGCAGGAACATGTAAATCAACATGTTCAACAGGCCGGGGGGCTGCCGACCGATGCCGAACCAGTCGATAGACCACTTGTAGATGATGCAGATGACTAGGTATCCGAAAATCGCCTGGAAGAAAATCATGCCGGGGATGAAGTTACCGAAAAGATCTTCTCGCTTCCGGAAGTGTCTAGCGTTGATGTACGAGAAGCAGAGAGAGTAGGTCATGTGAACCCATCCAAGGATAATGCTCATCTTCATCTTGTAACTGTTGGTGAAGAGCAGATTGTTCTCGGTTCCGTGCCACATCCAGTCGAGTCCGAACGGGTATCGGTAGTCGCCCTTGAGCTGTCCGACAACAGGAGCTCCGTCTGTCTCGGGGGGATGCTCCCACTCCCAGGCGCTAGGCCAGAAGGTGAAGGACAGGGAGAAGATATCGTTATAAATGAGACCGGTGAAGACCGAAAAGATGGCCATGACGAGAGCAATATATCTTCCGTAGAAAAGCATAGCGAAAAGTTCAAAAGTAACCTTCTTGAGTGACTTTTCCCAGTAGATCATAGCTATCGAAGCGAAGAGCATGATGAGCGCGTGGCCGACATCACCGAACATGACAGCAAAGAGGAAGGGAAACGTGACAATGACAGGGATGGCAGGGTTGACCTCCTGGTACGTGGCCGTTCCATAGGCGTTGACGATGGTCTGGAAAGCATCGGTAAACTTGTTCGTGCGGATGTAGGTCGGCGGCGTCTTGTTAGTTCGAACCTCGTTGATAATAGACGGAATCGAAAGACCAGCGCGGTTCGTCACATCATGAAGCGTGGACCGGATGCGTGGGAGGTCCGAGGTGGGACACCAACCCTCAGCGATAAGCGTTCGCCGGGCTCGGTCGTAAGAGAAGAGGTTAAGCGTGCTGTACACCGCCTTCTCCTTGGCCATAAGGACCATCCATACCGACAGGGATTGGGAAATCTGGTTGAGCTCGATGTTGAGCGTCGTCTGCGTGTTCTGCAACACGTTCTGGACGTCGGCAAGGCGAGCATTGACCTCGTGAATCTGATCCCGACGAAGATCGCTGTTCTCATCAACGCTATAAACATCGGCACCCATCGACTCCGAGATCTTTCGAATCTTGGCAAGAATTTCCTTGCCGTGGGCAAAGATGACGAAAACATTCTTGTTGACGGTCTCGTTGGTGGTAGGGTCAACGAGGGGTTCGGGAATCTCGGACTGGTTCATGTAAAGATTACCGCGCAGAGTTCTCCAAAGAATCCTCTCAAAAGTATCAACGCGGTCTCGGGCAATAACACCAGCAACGAATCCGATGTTCATCCCAGAAAAGGATCGCTCGGCATCGGCAGCACGAGCGTGTGCCTCGATATCTTGCAGAAGCGGAGCCTCATCACCCTCCGTCGAAGCGCGGATCTCCTCGACGTTTCCATGGGCACGGTCGAAGAAGCTGCCGGCCTCGCGGAGCACCCATCGCCATTCGGTAAGATCGACCTCGCGTTTCTTGAGCGTCTCGTAGCTTTCATTCAACTCTTGGATGCGCTGCTCAAGGACCTGGCTTCGCTCCACGACTTCGTCAATGTCGGCAGGGGCCAGAGTTCCGAAGTTATCGCCTTCGGTGTCAAGGTCGAGCTTGCGGAGGGGGATTTTCGCTTTTTCCATCTGCGAATGGAAGTACCCTAGAAGTTGCCATCAACGTTAGCATTTTGGTGCGATTTGGGACAGAAACATAATTATTTGGAGGTACTCCATCGAGACGGAACATACGAAGCTGTCGCTCAACATTATCAAGTCGACGGATCTCGTTGGTATACGTTCGTTGAAAAGCACTCAGCTCGCCGTTAAGCTAGGCAACAGAATTAAATGTTAGCAACCTCCTCTTAACAACGGCCGAATTCCCATCAATCGCTCGCCTCCTCTTGGGAATCTCTCATGCCGGGGGACTGCTCGGAATCATCGTACATCTCGAAAATGAAGCATGCCAAGGTCGCCGAGCGCCGTCACAACCTCACGGCCAATTTCGTTGCTCATGTACAGCTGCACCATGCTCATCTCCGAAGAGCGAAACATGGTGTCCTGCACAGGAGCCATCTTATTGTATTTAGGGTCACGGACCCGGACGGGGCTATTGGGTTCGTCGTATTCTGGCTCCGCGTCGGAAGCTGTCGTTCCTGGTATTGAAGCTCGTCGACGACGGATCATGGGCGGCAGAAGCCGAATCGAGATGCTGCACTTGAGGTTCTTAATGAGGAAAGGTCGAGGCCCTTGTGAGATTGCCAACCAAAACCAAGCAACGAAGTCCAAGCTCGAAGAAGGCTACGTTACGTAAGACTACAGTCGACTTGAAAAAGCCAGTTATATCACGTGATTACTCACCTGAGTCCGGAGCATCGGTCGGAATATCGGCGCCGAGTTCGTCATTCTATGATGTCATGGTAAATTACCAGTCATTCATTTATGGGGAGGACTCTGTAAGTCAACATCATGGGAAAACGGAAGCGATGAGAGCAGCAATGTGGAATTCACACACATCTCTGTAGTTTCGCTCGTTTCTTTGGGAAGTGGAAACCACTGTCATAGAGACTGGACAGCACATCTGACAGACACTACACGTCGGTACAGGTGGCCACTAATAGACCCTAGCCTACACTACTTTGCCTAGAAAGCGAAAAACAACTTGAGGGGGACACTAGCACCATGAGCAGGGAAAAGGAAACACGGGTACGGAGTACAAGCAGAGTAGAATTATTTTCAGTAAAGAGTATCGAGATGCACTATAATTCCATGAAAGACCACAAACAAAAAGCAGGACAGCCGTAGTTTTCGCTCTCATAAAACAAATTTAACAATCCCCGACTCCTGTTGGCTTGCCTCTTTTTTCCCACCTCCGCTTCATGGCCAGTGATATCAATGCTTTCCCAAACTCCACGCCTTTAAATACAAGGACTGCTCGTGATATCTAGTGCTGAAGAAAGTATTGAAACAATCGCAGGTCATGATATGATGCTGAAAGAGTCATAGTTAACAAGAAACATATAGGCGCCGACACACAGGAGAGAAAAAAAATAGAAAATGTAGAAGAGGGAGGGGAAAAATATAGGGATCATGACAACAACGCAATGCAAAGGACTGTAGTGCAAACGATAACGCCAGGGCTAGAAGAACCAGAAGAAGTGTGACAGTTCAGCTGGGTATCATACAGCATCCTGTGAGTCTGCTAGGGGAAGTTGGGAGAAGGGCAGGGACAAGCACTTGAACTCAAAGCTTCCGAGTAAACATGTGCCATCCGTACATGCCACCAACTTCGGCGACAGCCACAGGGATCTTTCGGGCACCCCAAGACTCCGCGCCCATCTTCCAGGACCTATACGGATTTTCCTTGGGGATTTGGCCAGCGTTCCTGACCAGCCAGTAGCGTTGACCGCTCTCCTTCAGTGTCCAGCCTGCAATCTCGACAGCCTTGCGGCGCTCCTTAAGCCGCTTGAAGGGTCTCTCTGCAATTTCGAGGACACATAGCGGAGCCGAGACTGGCTTCAGAAGGGTGTAACGCAAGTCAAAGAGAGGGTCAATATCATTGCTTGCTACCAGGTCAGACACATCGAGGTAACGTAGAGTATGGGGGCCCATGTCATCTCGTGGGGCTAGGAGGGAATCGACATCGGAAGCCATGAGACATCGACCAAGTGACAGTTCCTCGAGTCTTCGGGTAAGAGGTGCGACTAAAGGAAGATGGATGGGCTTCATCTTGCTACCCTTCAGATTCAGAGACTTGAGAGTAGGGGGTAGAACAGTTAGAAGATCGAACAAATCGTCCGCGCCCAGCAATTCATGATTAGAAGCATCGTGTGCCAGACTCAAGACCTGAATAGAATCCTTGACTGCCGGGTGGCGGGTTAGGAAAGTGATGATTTCATCAGCCTTTAACCGCTTGCACTTGGCCAAATTTAGATGAGTGATGCGGGCAGACGTTGGGATGGAGAACAAAGCTTTGGCAGTTATTTGGCACCCTGCTACATCGAGATGAGTAAGTCTCGTGAGACGTGGCAAGATGGTCTCGAAGATGGCAGCAGGCAGCGTCGAAGTCTTGTGAAATGAAAGACGCGAAATCGTCAACTCCTTGGGCCACTGAACAGTGAGGAGCGCCTCAAAGGAGCGTCTGAAGTCGGCATGCCAGCAGCCACAAAAGTCAAGGGCGCGTAGCTTGGGCAAGCTGCCAAAGAATAGCTTTTGGAGGACCTCTGGGCTTAGATTTTCCCCAATATGCTCTTGAGCGAGGAACTCCTTGACATTGGGAATCAGCTCGAGGCACTCAAGAAGCGTGCTGGAAGTCAGATTGTGAGCATTTGATCTTTCCCGCTCAGTGGAGAAAAGCGAGGTAGGATTGAAATGGCTAAAGTCAAGCCGTCGGACAAAGCCACCTAACTCAGGATGCGTAGAGATCTGGGTAAGGAATTTTCGGAAAATCTTGGAGTGAGGGATAGTGATGTGGGTGTACAGCGTCCCCAGGGTGGCTCCGTGCAGTGTCTTGGACGTGAGGAGCATCGCACGGAGATCAGCGTTTCGTTTTGCGGTGCTGTTCGTAGGGGTCTCGACGACAAGCAACGAGATGATGGCGGCTATCAAAAAGCACGTTAGTAAGACAGAGAACGCTAAACAACGGAACCAATCCCATCGAGTCTAGCAAAAGTTTGACCAGCACCCACTTCCCAGCGAAATCGGGGAGGGGCGAAAAAAAGAGTCAGGAGAGAAAGAGGAAAAAAAAAATTGATGATATTGGAAAATCGGATAGGGCAACATACTTAGAATCTCGGTGGGGAGCCGCTCGAGGGCCGAATTGCCGGGTCGTATTCCGGGCTCGCCTTCTTGAGTATTAGGAGTCTCTTCATGAGCTTCAAGTTTGGGGGACGGGGGCAAGGTCGTGAACCGATGGAGGGCGTGAAGATCGCTGTAACTCTTGCTTGCGTATCTGCCCTTTACCCTGATCTCCTTCCATCCCCGGCCCCAAGGGGTGCCGGCGGGATACCAGGCACCATGAAGCTTGCTCGCAGGTTTCGTGATGGGGGGAATAAATTCGGCGTTCGCCATGACCACATCGCCAGTATCGTCGACGGCTTCTTCGTAGGCTTCAGCGTAGGAGGAAATTTTGGTTGAGGTGAAAGATTGGGCGAGGCCAGACTCGTGTTCTCGGACAGACGAGAACGAGCCTCGCCCGACAGTGTCTGGCGAGGCCGAGCGCTGCATGGCCTCGATGGTAGGTGAGGTTGGGGAGCAGACAGGGATCATGGGACCGTGGTACGAATGCTTGGAAATTATTGGGGCGACAGGCCCTCGCAATCGAGATGGCATCGTAAGACTAGAAAGGGGGAAAGGAAGAGAAGGAAGTATTATGGCGTCGGACGACGGGGGGTGGTGTTCGTTGTTCTTTAATGGTGCTTTTATTTCCCGGGATCCAGTGGAGCCTTCTCCGAAATTTGCAGAAGAAAGAGCACTTGAGTCCAAGAGCCAAACTTTATATGCAATAATATCAAGGACAGTGTATAGTGTATAATACACAAAGACCCTAAGAAAATGAGAAAGAGCGATCAAGCGCCCCCAGCGGAAACGGGCCGGGGGGTTTGGGTTGTATGTAAATAGGTCACAAGGACAACTTGGACGGTTTCTTTGGCGGCAAGGGCCCAGAAAATATTGCGAGCCCAAGGAATCAGGGAGGTTTGTGTTAGTCAAAGCTTTAAGTTTTTAGGTAAGAGTATCCCGTATTGGGGGGGTGCGATGGCCTAGTGGTGCGGGGAAGGGATGTTTTTCGAAGCTTTCCTTCCTTTGGCTCATGGAAATAGCGTTGAGAAAGGTTGCACCTGCGTTTTAGAGCCCCAGCGTTTGGAAGGTTCGACAGGCAATTCGAAGGAGTGCGGTGAGGTAGCGTCTTGTTGAATGTTCTTCGAGGGCTTGTCGTTGGTGATCGTCAGGGATGTGAAGTGGATCTCGGAAGCGATCTTGCGTTGCGCGTGGTACTGGGGTTTGACAGGGAGTCGGGTTTGTACAAATGTACTTGGTAGTTGACTTCAGCCCAAATAGAGAAAGGTGAGAGAGCATCTCTTTTTGGGGGGAACAATTGAAGAGAGGTGGATGTAATATGGCATTATGTATCCATCGGCGCCCGTATGGCAGTGGCCACATACGCTACATGTATCCCAAGATGACTCTTCCATTACCGCAAAGTGGCAAGGCCTCGATATCTGCTGATAAATTTGCCAAGCCGACGTGGAAGCTAATCTACTTATAAGTGAGGCCTCAAAGTACTACTTGTATCTATTTTTCTCTGCCCGATGGGATCATTGATGACTCCAGGTACACCGGACCTCTACGGAAGGAATACCGGGTCGGCGAATGGCCTGGCCTGGCGAGGTTATTACGGAGGACGAGGATCCCTATATTAGTCGCGTGACTTGGCAGGAGAAAGGTCCCTGATCCAGTCGATCTCCTTCATCCTTCCGGGTCGTTGGCTGGCTGGGGCGAAGCAATTTCAACGTTGGGAGTTTATGCGGCTTCTGGACATGAGTGCAGCATTTATACCAGACATCAATGTTCCATCAACATACTCCGTACGCATACGCCGATGGGTGTGTGAAACATTGACGGGTGTGGTGTTAGACTAAGAGAAGCATTGGAATAAATCCAAGACGGTCAGCGTGCATCGTGGTGGCCCATAGCATTCGGCACCACCCCTGACTGGCCAGGCCACTGGTCAGTGGTGGGTGACACAGACAGCAGACCTCACGCCGACAGCATGCAGCAGAACGCAGACCGCAGAATAACCGAATGCTGGCAGGGGAGCTCGTCAATGACGTGGACTCTTGCGAATCGAATGCGGCAGGAAGCTTATTACCGGTGTGTACCTGGTTCCTTTGTCCGCTCCGCTGCGTGCTGCGAACCTCGGCGGAATCGACTCACCAACAGACGGCGGGCGGAGTTGTGGCTGGATGAAAAATCCCAATTTAAGACATTGAAAAAAGAACTCCCCCTTCACAAGGCTTTGCCGGAGAGCCTACTTTGTAGCAGGGCCGCGAGGGAAACCTGAAGGCTGACAAGAACGATGCCCCAGTTGAATCATCAAGCGCAGCTGATTCTTGCGATAACGGAATCCGTGGAAACATCAATTGATGCTCCCGACAGCTTGCTGAACAGATATAATGGTGTTGTGGCACCCGATGGAATTTACATGGGACCATCATGCGGACGAGAGAGCACAATCAACCAAGCCTCAAGTGGAAGGGCATTTTCCTTCCTGTACGGAGTATGCCAATACGGGAAGAAATCACCAATCCTGCAAATAGATCATGGATTGCGTTGGGCAAAGGGGCCTACAAGTATGGAGTAGGGCTGGATACACTTTCTCCGCGGAGGCAAGGGATCAATCAAACCAATATCGATGTAGCCTTTTTGCGATGTGCCTCCTTCTTACAACGTTCTCCTCGAGGACGGCTACTTCGTACTTATTCCAACATGTCGCGGGCTCGCTAATTTTGATACGGATTAAAACGGGATATTAATTGCAACACACCACAAACCCACGTCCCAAGTAACCCGATGCAAGGCGCTGGAGGCGGGACAACATGACTTGAACATTGAAATGCCCAAAAAGCGAGCGATTTGATGTCAGCGAGGCTCTTTAACTCCGACGGCTCTATCCTTCCGTCGAATCCTAAACTCGCAATTCAAATTGAACGAGAAAGATACGAAGGGGTGTCCAATAGATAACAAATTTCGATGATGTCTACCTTGATGGAGAATTTTCCGTCGTGCTATTGGCTTGCAGAAGACTGAATTGTCGCCCAGCTGCGGAAGTCAGTAACCTGCACCCATCATCACGTCAGTTCTACCAAGTGTGGCCTGCTACACCACTGCACATTCAAACAGATGCACGGGTCACAACATCGATGGGCGCTTGAACTCTTTCGGCTCTGGCGACTTTCCTGACCATTCCTCATCGATCTATCACCAACAGCAGTGTCCTCGGATGCCGAGATTTCACAGCCGGAGTAGAGGGAGGACTTGGACTTCGTACTACCCGTATTCATCACCGCAGACTCCGATCATTGCAGTTGAACCGCCTCACATCTTACGCAGGTTATAGAATGGTCGGGTCGAGTCATCGAAATGTATGTACGAAGTACACTCCTTCGAGTGTCGATGCGCCCAGCGACTGGTTCAGATCATGTGCCCTAAACCGATGCTGCCATAGGTTCTCCAAAAAGGTCAGCTAGGACACAAATTGAAGCCGAGCGTTAGGGCACCACATCCAAAGTTGGCATCGGTCATGCACTTTTAACCTCTGAAGACCCTTGTCTACGGGCGGGTCCGAATGGGCTCCGCCAGCTGGCCGCCTCAGGGGAGCGAGTGAGCTGGCCGAGCTGGGCTGGAAAGGGCAAGTTTTAACTGGGCTGTGGTGGCAATTGGCTGATTCGCTCGAGCCGAAGATGTGGCTTCGCCCCGGCATCGGCAATTCCAAGTTTTTTTCTGGAGTCCTAACTTTCTCGCCTCCCGAGCAACGCTGCCCTTCTTAAGGCAACGGCGCTTCCGATTTGTTCTGAAGGAAGAACTTTAACTCGATGGAATGTCGTCACCGACTTTCTAGTGTACGCTTCTTGCCGCTCCCCGCAGCTTCACACTCTATCGCCGTATTACATATCATTTTTTGCATTGCTTCTCCCATTTTCCGTTTATTCTTATTATGTCTTATGTCCATCATTTACTCTTTCTCTCCGACGTTAGAAAATTCCAGAAGCCCTCGGGGCCTTATTAGTATTGGGGATTGTTGCTCGGGTATCCCCAAGATAAACTATACAAATCAGAATTATGATTTCCTTGTGCCTCATTCCGAAAGATAACTAGTCAACGGATATCCAACTCTTTCCCGCTGAGGATTTGCATACCTAGACCCCAGCCTTTGGCCTCCGATCAAACTTCACGGTTGAGATGAACGTGTTCAACGTGACCAAGGCGCCTCAACGACCTTGCAGGCTCCTCTTCTTTGATTCAAACCCAGAGAGCCATGACGAGGATCAAAGGATCCACCGCTTCACCCACCGCCTACTGGACCCATACTAACCGATTTTCTTGCTAATACCGTGATTCCAAGAGGTTCGCTGATAATCCAGCTAGGCCCGACCGCTGATGCGGAAAATCCCTGCCCTCCCCACCCTACCCCGCAAAAACATTACCAACGTACATATCACGATGTTACCAACGAGTCATCTTGTCCAAAAAGTAAGCATGTATAGCCCTTAAGTGAAGGAGGCGGCAAGCTCAGAAGACTCCAAAGAAGGAGGAAAAAGGGAAATGGAATAGGCAGGTCTTCGTCTTAGGCTCGCCGTTTTTCGATGGTGATTCGTCCTTGGACGCGGTGCATATGCAATGCGCAAGTCGCCGGATGGGCGAGAATCATTGGCTCCTCTATGCCATCAAACTCGAGCGACGACAATGGGGGCCCTTGCTGAACGTGCACCGCCCGTGGCTTCTCACAATCTTGGGCGTTGAGTTGTCGTGCTCTGATATGCTTTCGGGGAGGGGGTCTCTCGACTTGTCTCTCTCCACACGAATCAACAAGGCATAGATCGGGGCCGAAGGACGACAAAATTCGGAATATACAGCGCTTCACGAGGAGGAGAGACAGCAATCCTGTGAAGAAAAGAAGTTCAATGCCGAAGAAGTCTGATTGTCCCCAGGGATGATGAGTTTCCCGTGGGTTAGGTAGATAAAATGCCATTTCGTACTTGGAAGATCCCATTTCTCCGTAGTTTGAAGGGGGAAAGACAACAATGTTATGGTGAGTTTGGTGGTATCCAGGCACGCCCGCTGGGGGAAAAGAAAACCAACCGAAACGATGCAAAGGAGGGAAAAGATTCCGATATAAAGACATCTTAACGGCTCCGTAGGTAAAAAGAAAAACGGTGCCCCAAACTATCAACTGCTAACGCCTCATTGTCCATTGATGATGAGGCTTCTTGCCAATGAAAGCCCTCGCCTAGAGAAGAGAGATTGATTCGAGAAAGAAGAAGGGTCGAGAAAACATCAAATATACTCAAACAAGCCTGCGCCGTTTCCGTCCCTCGTGATCCCTACAATGGCAATTATGCAGCCAAGAGTTGCAAGTAAAATTATACTTGAAAAGAAAAAACATCGAAGGTAAAAAGAAAAAGTTTATAACTGCCAGGAGGAGAAGCAGCCCGGCTCTTATTTACCGAGTACTTGTCTTCTTTCCACCTGCCTTCATCCGCTCCTTACAGTCCTCACAGTACCATTTCACTATACAAGTTCAATATTAGCTTCATATCCCCAAAACCGAAAGAGCAAAAAGAGATGAGGGCCGAAGAAACTTACCATTCTGCTTCGGCGGCACCTTCAACCCCACACACTCCAAATGGAACCACTCCCTCTCACACCCCTCGGCATCACAAGCCACCATCGCACCGTAGCTCACACTATTGCAGTAGCAATACGTCGGCTCATCAGCATCAATATCTCCATCCTCGTCTTCCTCGCCGCGGGGACTCTTATTGTTTGCGCTCTCGCCAGAAGTCTGGTTCGCGCTGTTGACCTGCGCCGCCGACGACTTCTTGTGGCTGCGCTTGGATGTCGACTCCGTCGTTCGAGACGATCTCGACCGCGCCGCTTCCTGGAACGTGGCGAGAGCGGGCGTGGACGGCTTGCTTGCCCGCCCGCTCTTCGTCGTAACCGTGGCTATCGTGGTGGTGGTGCTGTTGGTCACAGGTGGAGCGGGAGCGGAGGTGGTGGTCGCGACGGGGGCGGGTACCGATGGCGCGGTCTCGGCCTTCTTCTCCGTCTCCTCGGGTTTCGGGGGTGGGTCTTTCTTAGTTGAGGTCGATGCCGAAACGGGCCTGTCGGCGTTCACGTCCGGCTCTTTCGCCGTTGTTGCAGTCGCAACTTCTGGCTTGGGAGCTTCGCTGGGTTCTTCAGTAGGCTTAGAGTCCACCGTCGGAACAACATCCGGGGTACCCGGGATAACGCCATTAGGCTTGTTTGAAGCTGAGGATGACGGACGGGCCTTGCTGTTCCCGTTGTTATTGGTGGCGGCGGCAGTATTGCTAGTCTCAGTAGCGTTCTGGGCGGGGGGTTGACGAGATCGCGAGGAGCTGGGACGTGGGGTCGAAGAGCCTGGCGCCGGCGAGGCACGGCCGGGAGCCTTGTTATCGGGGAAGGAGCTGAGAATGGGGGAAGCGGTCGCCGAGGGGGTTGTACCGGAACCGTTTTTGCTATTAAAAAGAGGGAAAAGAGTTAGTAAACGAAAAGACACTAACGTGATACGTAAGAACCTGGTCCGGGTATGGGATTACAACGAACCTTTTCTTTGATTGAGTAGGGCCGCTAGGAAGGGCCTTCCGTTTCTTTTGGCCGCCCTCCGGCACCGGTGTTGTCCTCGGACTTGTCGTCGATTTCGCCGATTTGGACGCGCTGTTGCCAAAGACCGTACTCATCGCCCGCTCAGTAGGCAGACCTCCACCATTAACAGGCTTCTCAACCTTGCGCCGCTTGCTAGGCGGGTTCGCGCCATTAGAAGTACCGGGCGCGGTAATACCGAGACCCAGTCCAGCATTATTACTCTCCGTATTATTATTATTATTCTTGCGGCCCTTGGTGCTCTGGGACTTCTTGGTGCCCTCTGCCTTGTGATCGTCGGCATCAGCCTCGTGGGCCTGATGTCTCTGTTGCTTCTTTGCCTGAACGGCCTGCTTTCGGGATTCGCTCCGGGCAGCCGCTTCCTCCGCCGCCTGCTGCGCAGCGGCCGACGGGCCATCGCGGCGGCTCCCGCGCTCGTTGTGAGCGGGTTTCCCGAGTCTGTTTTCGGGGTAAGCCCAATGCGTCGTGCTTCCCCATTTCGCCTCTTCGCTAAACTCCGTCTCGAGGTGCGGCCAGACGCCCTCAATGCGGGACAGGTGACGCTGCAGCACCTCGTTCGCTGTATTGATGACGTGGTTCTTCTCATCGAGGGCTATGAGCATGTCCTTTATGTGGCTCGCCGTCTCGTGGAAGAGCCGCCGACGCGGCACGTTGCTCGGATCCGAAACGGCAGCCTGATAAGCGTCGTCGTGGATGGGAACCGGGCGCAGGGCGTTGTTGAGAAGGATGCTGGTGCTGCTCGTAGAGCTACTGCTGGCTGAGCCATTATGGACACTGGCGGCAGTAGCCGAGGCCGGCGACGCCGCGGCGGCACTGGAGGTCGACGTCGCATCGTCGGTATTTTTTAACTGTGGAAACGGTGAGCTTGCACAGGCGGTGACAAGCTCGCGGAGCTGCTCCGTCGGCGTGGAGATCTTGGCGTCGACTTCCTTCAGGAGCGTAAAGTGGCGAACGAGCTCCTTGGGCAGAGCGGTGATGGCATCGGTGAAATGCGTGAGGCCGGGGAAAATATCGATGGGTTGATCATGGACGACGGCGGATCCGTTGATGGCGCCGCGGCCGCTGGCGCTGCGTTGGAGGGCGGCGCCCGTGGCCTTGGATGGGTTCGTTCGCGTCTGCCGCACCGGCTGCGACCTGCGACCGTCGACGACGGCCGGCGATTTTGCAGACTTCATGCAGGCGATTGTTGCGGGAAAAATATCAAACTCGAAGAAGGGGTATACAGTATACGTGTTCCCGTCGAGAAGGGTCGTAGTAGATGCCGTCGGGTGTGGCTCGGGATCGAGGAAGCAGGAGAGGGTTCGACGAGATCGGTGCTAGGTTTTTTTCTGGCGTGGAAAGCAGCAAAGTAGTAATGCTGAGAAAGTCGCTGAAGCTTGGATTGGGATGGTCCTAGGACATCCTGCGCCTGAGTACGGCGTTTGATCGATCAGGATCCTCTAGGGGGTACTGGAGAATAGTGGGTGAGATCTCTCAGAATTGGGTGTTAAAAAAAAGGCGGGAGGGAAGAGTTGGGGGAGGGTTCGATTCGGCATTCTCCCCAAATGACCTTTCTTTGAGCAACACGACTGGCGTAGAGTGGGCGGGCAGAGCGAGTTTCTGCCGGGGGGGCGCGGGTTAGCGCGGGCGGGAACAGGTGTGGGCGGAGACAGGCACCTGCCATTGATTATCGGAAGAATCCTTTTTCCGATGATGTGATGTGCCAGCTGGGATCACTTGTCATAAATGCTCGATGAGCTCATATTCTGCAGGGGATGATCTAGCTCGGTTTCACAAGCTCGTTGAAGAGATTGGACAACAACGGGTTTACAAGAGAGGGAAAAAGAATAAAATAAAATAAAAATAAAATAAGAAAACAAAAAGCGCCACAGAGAGTGGCCTGGCCTGGGGTTTTCATGAACCTCGTTTGGAACGACACGAACTGTGCCCGAGAGGAGATGTTCTATAATAATGCCTATCAATATGTTGATACCAATATTCTATAGCATCATACGGCCGGCATTCCATGACTTGTTCTATCCATTACCCAGCGCAACGTAAACGCGAACCCAGGGGGAATTAAGGGTAGACAGCTGAGAGAAAGAAAAATTGATGCTGGTGTCCGTCAACTTCGGGGTATAGAAAGAGATCAATAAAAGCAAAACGCAAAACTTAGAAACATGAGAGTCTGTCAGGGACGAGACGTGATTATGCCAACAAAAGAAAATGCCCACCCGCGACATGTCTCGCAACATTGATTGATGCATCTTTTCCGCATTCCAACTCTGACAAACAAACTTCACCTCCGACGACGAACTTCGCATTATGGATCCTAAAGATGCAAAACATCAAGGGCTATGTGTGCTGCGAAACACCATCTTTTTCTCCTTCTTCTCATCTCATTAAGCAACGACCCGTTGCACCTTGGCAGAACGCTCTGCCTTCAGAGGAGAAGCTTCTCGCGCCTTCTGCTTCTGCTGGCGCTGCCATTCTAGAAGAACGGGAATGAAGTGCTTGAGATCAAACTCGGGCCACATGCATTGCAGGAAGAAGATCTGGGTGTCTTGGTGGCATTGCCAGAGCATGAAGTCACTGAGACGTTCGACGCCGCTGGTGCGCACAAAGATATCTAACGGCGGGTCCTCGGACGTGTACATATGTTTATCTAGAGTTTCCGCCGTGATAGTCTCGGGGTTGGGGAGCGCGTTTCGGGAGGAGGAAAGGCGACGTCCGGTAAGGGTGGGTGACAGGGTCTCGGGAGAGAGTGTGGTCGAGGAGTTCGCATCATTGTCGTCGTCCGCGTCGGACTTGGAAGACGGCGCAGGCGATGCATCTCTGATAGTGGGTAGGGGCTCACCCCGCATATCAAGGTGCTTCGTTAGGATATTTCGGGTGATGCGCGACTGGGAGAAAGGGTTGCTCTTGGGGAGTGGAGGGGATAGGTATTCCTCAACCGTCGATCGCATTGCCGTCGTCATTTCCTCGCGAGAAGTATATGGGAAGCAGATGTTGAGCGCGACGCTATGGCGGAAGAATAAAGTGTTAGCGCAACACGTTTCACTCCACCCAGATTCTTCGACGGGACATGTATATATATGCAACTTACAGGTTGTTATGTTTGGTCATGTTGACGGCGCGGTCCACAACCTCCATCACGTCGGGCCGGATCAAACTCCTCTGTCCCAACACTCGAACGCGGGCGCCGTAGCGGTCTAGGATATCCCCGTGCCGCGCAAGCTGCTCAAGCTTGACCTTGGCCATCTCCATGAGGCCATCCACCTCATACTTGGGTCGGTTGAAGTTTTCGATACTGAAGGCATAAACTGTAACAGTCTTGACGCCGCACTTATAACATACTTCCAGAATCTGCCACATTTGTGTTAGACTACGCCTTGCACCAGTGCGGTGGACCTCTCCTAGAGGTCAAGGGCGGGGAGCATGGAGGGGGATGCAATTGCTGTGAAGGAATCGCTCTTGTCGCGCGAACGTACCCTTGCCAAAGCTTCGAAACCGTAGTGGTGGCCCTCAACGGTCTCCATCCGGTGGCGCCGGGCATATCGACGATTGCCGTCCATCTCGAAAGCGACGTGCTGAGGGATGGGACCTTGGCGCAGAGCGCCTATAGTCAGCTCCCTGAGCTGCTTCAAGGCCCATTCTGCAGGAGGCGAGCTAAAGAACCATTTCCTAATCTGCGACGGCTCGGCCATTATGGTATGGGCGGGTGGGAAGAATATTAAAATTAAAGAGCGTTCGGATTTCAGGGGAACTCGAGTGGTCGACGTGTTCGGTTTCGGCGGTCTATTAAAGTTCTAGGGATCGACTTGGGGTGTTAAACGAGGGACATGGAGGAAAAAAGGGCAGCTTTAAGTGAAAGAAACAGTTTGGCGATTTTGGCGAAATGTTGAGAAGTGAGAATGGTTAGCTGCAGGATGTGCAACCGGAAAAAAAAAAAAAAAAAAAAAAAGGCAGCACAGGTGAAGGACGACGTCAGCGCTGGGCAGTGCAGCACTCGTACGAAGGCATCCTCGTATCTCGCAGCATGAAGTGAGCTTACAGGTGTTACTCCTGCATCCTGGCAGGTGGTGTGGTTGGCTGCTGGTCTGCTCTTTGCCACGGCCAGGCTGTAACATGGATTGGATAGCTGCAGTATGGTACTCTAGATGTCGAATTTTACTGCTCAACTCTCATTGTTGCTGTCTTGGTGTTGGAAAACCGTGTCTTACATAAGGACACGATCAATCAGATTCAGCACAGGTTCTACTTCTGGCAGGTGCTGTTATTACTGAATGAAGTCGCTCTCATGACACAAGTAGAGAGCTAATGCTCTTCTTAAACCACGAAGTACAATAGGGAAATAATTTCAGAGAACAAATTGAGTGGTCTACTACTTATTTAGAGTCCAGCTTCTAGCCAGGTCTGAGTGTATTAGAAAATGTTTAAGCATCGATTGATGCTTGGCTTTGGCAATCTGTCAACGTTCAAATAAGTGCTAGTTGGCCTTTTTACTTCACTATCAAATGGATTCAGATGCTGTCTCTGCCTGTGGGGACGAGGGGCCTAAAATAGCCCACTTTGTTGACTGTGCTGTGCTGTCTGCACTTGGTCTCTGGTGATGCAATTTGTCCACTATCAATTAAACAAACCCACCTTCCAGCATTGAGCTTCTAGAAAGCATCCATCATCACCACGTTTAAACCTTGCCCATCGAGGAAACCACTCTCACTCCTTATCGCATATTAATACTTCATACATATTGCTATTAATCCAGCTCCTGCTATCTATTCTTCCTTTCTTCTCTCCCCGACTTGGCCAATATCTCTCGACGACGCCCAAGAGCCCTCGCTCAAAGAATGTTGTCGATGGCAGATCTCCCCCATTGAGATCGAACTTCGCTTTACATTCCCGAAACTCGACCAGAAGCTTCCCACCGACAAAGCCCATATTTCTTCCGCCGCCGACATCCCCCTGGAAAGACGACACGATGTCCTTCACCAATGCCCCGGTGACGCGCTCCCTCGCCGTCAGCCTCGTCGGCACCTCCATAGCCGCAAGCCTCTTCGACATAAAGCACTACTTCTACATCTTCGCCGACTCCCACATCTGGCACTACCACCAGCTCTGGCGCCCCCTCACATACCAACTGTGCTACATCAACTCGAGCGAGGTCCTCTTCGCCTGCGTGGCCCTGTACCAGCTCCGAGTTGTCGAGCGCATGTGGGGGTCCAGGAAATTCGCTGTAAGCTCCCTTAACTCCGGCGTTCCCTACCGAGCTCTATCTTCTAACGCTCTTCGATACAGTCCTTCCTCATAGTCACATCCATCTTCACAGCCATCATCCCCCCCGTCCTCATATCCCTCCTTCAACCCCTCACGGCCAGCTACTTCAACTACCTCCCCGCCGGTCCCACCTCCCTCATCTTCGCCATCCTCGCCCAATACTACGCCATAATCCCCCACATCTACCGCTACCGCGTCGCCACCTCTTCTCCTAAACCCCCTCCTCCTCCCACCGACCCTTCTTCTTCATCCTCAACGACCAACAACCGCCCCGGAGACGACGACTCCTTCTCCGGCCTCACCTTCTCCGACAAATCATACCGCTACCTCCTCCCCCTCCAACTCGCCGTGTTCCAATTCCCCGCCTCCCTCATCACGGCCCCCGTAGGCTGGGCTCTAGGTTACGCGTGGCGCTCGGGACTGTTTCCTTCGCGCCTTACCAGCTGGCGGCTCCCCGGGTGGCTCGTCGGCGCGTCGTCCCAGAAACCCTCGGCGCAGTTTGAGGGGCTGAGGAGGAGGTTGGAGGACGAGGATATTACGGAGGCGACGACGGCTATTGCTACGGGGGTTCAGGGGGCGGAGGGGAGGGGGGAGGGAGGTCCGCAGAGGAGGACGGTTACGCAGGCGATATTTCAGCAGTTTTTGTGAACCAAAAGAGCAAAAGAGGTGGGACGAGTGGAATCAGGAGAGGTAGCGAGGATCGTTTAAAATGGTTGGCTAGAGGTGAACAGGCGAGTGTGTTGTATGTGTATAGATTCAAGAGGAAGATGGGAGAAAAATACCCTCTTTCCCCTTTATTTTCACTTGTAGGAAATAGACTATTTCAAGCGATTACCCCATCTGCCGTCGTTCCATTGTGAAAACACTCGCTATCCCATGGAAGGAGGTATGGAAATTCCGAAAGAAGTTCTACGTGGACACTAACCCGTTGATATCCAGTGCCTACGACAAGAGCCGATGAGCATCAGAAGCAGAGACGTCAAACTCTCAAGCCTGGAGTTGAGAAGCCTACACGAAACAACGGACGTCACGTTTCAACAATTTATGGTTCCCTCAAAATTTTTGTTGTATTGCAATATCGTCGAACGAGGAGATGACTACTTTGAAGTAAGTTCTCTAGGAGAGTGCCCCTCATCCTCGAATCTAAGGTTATGCTTTAAGTGTTGCAGCTCCTCCTGTTTCTTTCTCTTCCTTCATTTTCGGACGAGCCGTCTTCCGCAAATGCATCTCCTCAAACTTCTCCCTCATCCCCTCCCCTTCAATACCGCAATACGCAAGGTCGATCAACGACCTTCCTTGCAACCTGGGCGTTGCCTCCCCCCTTGAAAAATTGCATCACATAGTGGAGATGTGGATGTGTGTAGCGGCTTCGTGTGGTGTGTGGTGTCTGGCTCTGTTGTGTGTGTGTATGGAAATAATGTGTGGTGGTTCCCAATGTTGTAAAACGCCTTGATTAGAGAAATGAAGACAGAAAAAGGACAACTCGAAAGATGAATCGACATTTTGCATGTCAATGGATATCCCCACCCAAAACCCCGTCTATAGCCGGAAACTCCATAAAGAAAAATGAAGAGAAAAAAAGAAAAAAAAAATTTTTCAAGAATGCCAAGATAAAGGAAATAAAGTGAGGGTGGTAGGAAAAATGCAATTGGAAGCGAACGACTGATCTTCTCAGGAGGAAGGATATCAGTCAAGAATGGGGTGAATGGCATAGGTAAAGACGCAAGGATAAGGTTAATCCGACGAAGCACGAGGATTATTGTGTTCCGTCAAAATGGTTCGAAGGGAGATTAAACGTTGATAAACGTATAGGTTGGGTTGTCAGATTTGCCTCTCGAGTTCTGACAACAGTGGCACTCCGCCAACTCTCGGGATCTATTAAATCGCATAGTCGAGGTACCCCGAGAGAGGCAGATCCGGCAGGGTCTTTTAAATTTGTTCAGGCTCCGTTGTCATCTCAACGTCGTCCGAGTAAACGAGGCCGGACCATACCCTCCAGTGAATGACGCCCAGATGAGCTAAACGGATAGCCATGTCTTCGATGGTCTCGTCTTCGCGAGCTTCCCTCGTGGAACCGTCACTCCTCTCCCGCTCTGGGAATCCGTAGGCATTTTGGGGCCGGCTGCCGGAGGCAATGCTGAAGAGGCTCACACCCGACAAACCGCGGAACTGCTTGACGCGAGCAGCGAGTTCAACATGGAGTTTGTTGAGGAAGTGCTCCTCTAGCTCCCGGTACCTATCCGAGTGGACGTCGCAGACGAGAGAGGTAATGTTGGCCTCTATCACGGGAAGCGCTTGCTGAGGAGCATTCGTGTACCGGAAGACCTGGAGAGCCATCGAAGGAGCGATGGCCTTCCAACGAGCTGCGGGCTTCGCCGCGGATGGTGCGGTTTGGAGGAGGGCGATGAGCGAGTTGTATAGCTCGTTTGCCTTCGCCTTGGAGCGTGTGGCATCGGCGGCCGTTTGCGAGGGGAGAATGAGAGAGGATCGCGGCGAGGAGTTTGCGGAGCCGGCGTTGCTCCAAACGAGGCTGGATGGCCTAGACGAAGACACGGATGCAGCTGATCCACCAAAAACCGAGTCGGGAGTACCTGGTCGAATTTGCTCTCCGAGATTATGCAGGGCAGAAGACAGGAGAAGGGCGCCGTATCCCGACTCCATATCCTCGTACGCCTTCATGCAGATCTCGAGATTGATGGCGTCCATCATGTCGGATCGGAGTTTCATTATCCGTTCTTCGTCGAAGAGGAAGGTATTCGGCACCGTCTTCTCGTTTACCGAGGGCAGCAGAAGTCGGGCGAGACCCTCGAAAAAGACTGTCATGTCGCCGAAAGCTTGGGTGTTGGTGGAGCTCGACAAGGCAGGCGAGAATCGTTCGCAGGCGTCCCCGTACCACATCTTGGCCGAATCGACATCGATCTTTCCAGCTGCAATCTTCTTGAGGAAGAAGCGTTGTTCGAAGTTCACGGTATCCTCGATCAGGGCCGGGCGGAGGCATCTTATCTGGTGGTTCGCAACGTCCAACTTCATTGCCTCCAAGACACTTAGCAGACTCCTCATTCCCTTGACCAGCTCGCTCATATCATTGTTTCGGTTGCCGCGGCTTAGTTCGTTGTACATCTCGTCTACCCACTCATCACGCATGGGTGCGCAGTGCGACTTCAGGACCTTGGAAAGCCACAAGGCGAGCTTCTCTAGATCCGCCACTCCCATGTTGAACTGTTGCATAAGCAGGTCGACATTTAGGCCCTCGTCGAGGTATACTCGGTCACGTTGAGGCACTAGAGTCTGAATTATTTCCTTCACGGCCTTAAGAAGAGCTGGTAAACACCAGTCATCGCCTCTGCCGTGCTTCTCCTCAAAAGTCGGACGGTCCATCACAAACTCGCACAGCTGCTCCAGAAGCGCATTCCAAAACAGATTCGCCCTCTCCTGCTTCCTCCTTCCCTTTTCTCCCTCTAAGTTAGGCCGGAAATGTAAGTCGGGGTCGAAGTTGATATCGTGGCGGAGCTTGGGGTTGTGGATGATTTTAGTGACGTCTAGTTCGCTGAGGGTTGCCCTGGTCACAGGAGGCTCCAATGGCCTGGATATCCGTCGAGAGTAGGGAATGTAGCAGCTGCCTGAGCGGCTGTGTGTTGGGAGGCCTGATGTACAAGCCGGCGGGTAGGTGTTCGCTAGCTTTCCGCCTGACTGTGCAGTGGGTTCGGCATACTGGGTCTGAGTGTCTTCTTGTTGTTGGGGGATGCGGTTCTCCACCTCAGCCTCCGGCAAGGGCTCGCTCTGCGTATTCGGCCTAGGCGGGGATCCTCCAAGGGCACCCCCACCAGTTCCTTGCTCCGTCGTCATGGTGGTGGGCCGATATGGTGGGCTATCCTGGAGGGGAGGGGTGTGTGAGGAAGGCCAAGGGTCCAACGTTAACTACTACCCGTATCCGGAAGTGACGATTGGTCCAGAATCGTTGACAGTCGAAGGTAAATCCAAGACGTCGTCGGTTCGAGGTGATTCGGCGTCTATCAAGAGTGGCTGATGTCTAAAATCAAGATTTTGGTTCAAGGTGTAGATTCTTGTTCTCTTACGTAGCGAGGTGGTGCGTGTGCCGTGTAAGAGAGAAAAGAGTATAGGTGTGTAGACAAGTCGAGATCACTATCACTAGCGGCACCTTGGGTTAGTGTCCCTTGTATATAAAGCGCGTGGAGCTGAAACGGAGTGAAGAGTCAGGAACGACGAAGGTGACAGGAAAGGGTGTTGCAAACACGGAGCAAGGGAAGTTCCAAGTAAGACGACGGGCCTCGTGAAAGCGGGTAACCGCAGAGCCTTTGCCGTAGACCGCCCTGTGATTCGAGAGGGGCCGGGGCTACAAGGAGGTCGGGGAAGAAGAAACAAAACGTTTGCCCGCAGGGTGTAGCCAAGGTGAGAATAGGATGTAAGGGCTTACGCAGGTGATCCCCCGCGAGAGACGGAAGCAGGAAGATAGAAGCGGTGTATGGAAGATGCGCGGTTTAGGGTAACAGGAAGAGGTGCACTCGACGAGTGTAGGACGAGAGAGGAACAGACTTCTCAAGTACCAATTGGTTAAGAGAAAAAGCAAGGAGTGGAATGACCTGACAATTGGAAGAATGGAAGGAATGTATGAAGTCAAGAGCCAAGAGAGAGCTGAACTGGTAGGAAAAGAGAAGGTGTGTGGACTCTTGAGGGTATGAGTGAAGGTCTTGAGCGAGAGTGTATATATGTGGGTGGGCGGTGGGTGTGTATGAGAGGTACCAATGCAATGGCTTTTGTCACTAGACTCAAAGAAAGGCAAGACAAGAAAAAGGGTCAGGGTCTCCTCAGGGCAAAGGGTCTGGTATTATTCCCCGCAACTAAGGTAAGGGAGAAGGTAGTGGAGAAAGGCCAAAGGCCTTCGAGGTGGAAATGTGGAATTGCCGAGATGAGACGGGGTTTCCTTACCGAAGAGGTCTCTATGTCGCTGAAGGGTCTGGTCGACAAGACGTGGCGTTAGACGTTGCCCATGCGGTGTGTTGTCCAGACGTATACGAAATCGAAGGTTCGGCAGCCAAGAAGAAGGGGGGAGACTTGGACTGGATCCGTCTCGGTGGGTGGATTGCGGAAGATGGGACACAATGGCGCTTATAATCCAAGGTAGTGGCAAGATGGGGATTCCAGCGTGGCTCTACCGATATGCGAGGCAGCACTTCTCTTTTCCTATTCCTGCCTCCAATCGCCTCTGGTGTCGAGCTAAATATGAGCGAGGTTTAAAAAGACCACGGACGGAAGTGGACTTGCAGCAAGGCGATGGTGGCAGCAGCAGTAGTGGTTGGTGGTCGTGGTGGTGGCGGTGGCGGATTTCCTTGAGAATAAAAGGAAACAATCTGACGTGGGTAAGGAGCGACAGGAATGAGCAACAGCAAAGGAAGAAATATCAAGGAGGGACACGACTGAACGAAGTCGGGAAAAAGAGACAAGGAAAAATTGAGGATCAAAAGGAGAGTAGACGAAGAGAATTGGGCTATAATAGTATCAGATGTAAGAGAGAATGGAGGGAGGGAAAGAAGAGCTGAGAACAAATGAGCCCAAAGGAAAAAGGAACAAGAAGAGAGCGGAAAGCACGCCAGCCAGACAAGAGGAGCCAGGGGCTGCCCAGGCCATGC